TGGTTCTTTACATGAATAGTGATGATCTGAATGATTTATAAATATGAAAAGATGCATGGCACATGATTGTGAGAAAAAGCTGGTTTTCCTGGTTTAAAGGCGAAGGATGAGAAGCAGGGCACATGATTGTGAGATAGTTTTTCATTTAAATTTGGCTGATAATTGAATTAAATTTAACTCTTTTTTTCTGTTTATTGAAACTTTTTATGTTGTTACTAATTCAATTTAAATGGAACTCAACCAACTTTGTTTATAATGTTATCTTAAAGTTAGGGTCATAAAGGAGTGTGACGTCATTCATGTGCAATTTTAATGAATTTTTCACTAATTGGTACTTAAATTTTCATGAATTTGGAATTTGTTAATAAAGAAAGGAAATTTTGGTCAACAATGAAGCGGGTTGACTTTATTAGTATTCATTTCATGCCCGTCAATTTAAGTAAAGGTCTGACTCTTTTAATAGTGCAGAGGGAAGAGTGAATTCTAATAATGGTTTTGAATTGTAGGGATTGACTTTTCAGGTTATAGACTATACGTGCTTGTTACATGACTAATTATATTTTGCTAAATCATATAAATAAAGTCGAACCGTTGGTTCCGGTTTTGGCCCGATGGTTCGAAAACTAAACATATAAATAAAGGTGACGACACAATCCCCTCACCGTCTACTAGGCCAAGCAAATTCATTGCCAGATAGACATGGTCATTTCTTGATTCCGGGCCTGTTTCAGGTCGGAATCGTCGGCTCTAGGCCGAGAGTTGGAGGGCCTTGAACCGGCCCGAACATATGCACAGGCCTGTTCAGTGAATCATTAGTTTTGAGCTGGTTCAGCCTAGTTCAATTAATATATATATATATATATATATAGGTTCAATTAATATATATATATATATTTGTTAAAAAAACAAGGCCGAACAACCGATTCCGGTTCCAACCCGGCGGTTCGAAAACTAACATATGTGGCCTAGAACTGGCCCGGTTAAACCACGAACTCGGTTCAAGACCCGTTGACCACGGACTGATTCAGGGTCAAATCGGCGGGCTAGGCCAACCCGTGGTCATGTCTACTAGTGCCAAATTATACTCAATCGCCTCTGCAACCTCGAGTCGCTTCTTGTCCGCCAAATTTGCAACCACACATTCCCTGAGAGCCACCCGCTACGCCTTCTCAATGCTATGCCACATGCCGACCCCCAACGCCTCCGCCACCTCTCCCAGCGCGGCCGGTTCGCGGATGCCCTTTCTCTCCACAGACAACCCCTCGGCTGGGGACTTGGGACTTCCTCCCACCACGTTCGCCTTGTCTTCAACCCTCAAGGCCTGGGCCCGAATTTTGTCAAAATGGGCCGACCGACGACCCACAAACATGTGCTTAAGATCGAGTTGTGTGGAGCAATCTTCGTTCAGATGGCCCTTGTCGACTTCTATTCGAAATTGAGAGATAGAGGCGTCCTCAAGTTTCTCTTGACGGCAACGCTGGATAAGTCGACCTCCCTCATAGGTGAGTAAGGTTACGAGAAGGGAAAATTGGGGAAGAAAATAAGTGTGGGTATTTATGTAAACTAGTATTCGATCATGTGCACATTCACAAAAGGAAACAAAAAATTTATATATTATATGTACGTATATGATAGTTAAAAAATTAAATTAGATAAAGTGTGTATTACATTTTAAAATTTTTAATTTCAAAAATTTTAAAATCTTGTAAAGTTGTAACAAAATAAAAAATTAATAATAACAAGGTTTTACTTGTGTGACTGTCATTTGAATATTGGTCATAAAGATTTTTAGTAAATGAAGTCCTATTTTTTAATTGTTGGTTGAATAAAATTTATTGAAGCTTGATGGATTTCACATCCCATCCTATAGGTGGGATACTTATTACTAAATAATTGTTAAAAATTAACCGGGTCATGTCCTATTTAAAAGGCTTATTTATTGGAATGAAACGTATTAATATGATGGATATTTATGAAATGGTGTGATATCATGCACACTCCATTCAACCAAACAGACCCTAAGAGCAGAATAGGGCTACCATATTGTTTCACGCTATCATATGATAATGCTTGGATACAAAGTATAAAAAAAAATAAAAAAAAAAAATCAATCATTTTTAATCAATCACTTTTTGAACTCAAATTTAACTCAATTTTAACACAATGCCACTATCTTCAAAATTTTTAGAATACCAAACTTATTTTCCAGCCACAAGCGAACCCTAATTTGCAGCAGTTCTCGATAATTAAATAATATCAATCAATCATTCTTACACATCACATCAACTTTAATTTACTTTTATCAACTCGTATAATTTTAACTATTAATCAATTTACATCATCTCTTTCATATATTTACATCAAATCAACTTTAATTATTTTATTTTAATATAAATTCAAAATCCAACTAACAACTAAACTTACCACATTTTTCAAAATTAACCAAAGCAAACAAAAAAATTCGAATAAAATCAAAACATCTTATATTCAAGAATGCCCATATAACCTTTCATGTAGACATGGCCACGGACTGGTTCGGCTCGCTGGTTCAGCTCGAACCGACCCGTGATCAATGGGCCTTTAATTGAGCCCATGGTTTGACCGGGTCGATTTTGGGCCACATATTTGGTTTTTTGGAACCACTAGTCCACTTTCGAACTAGAACCGACTGTTAGGCCCTTTTATTATTTTTTATTTTCTTAATGGATCAGACCAACCTAGAACTGCCTATTGACCAAACTGCCCATATATATTTTTGGGCCTATTTATGGCCTTCAAAACTGCAGCCCAGAACCAGCTATTCACCGAATTGGCCCATATATACTTCTGGGCCTATTTATGGCCTTCAAAACTGCAGCCCAGATCCGGAAAAATGGCCGTGTCTACTTTTATGTTGACACTCGAATCAAATTAACCATTTCTCAAATGCTCATCATAGAAAAGGAAGCTATACTTTAGTCTAAAGCCACCTAAAATTGTGGCCAACACTTCATCACACGCGACCCACGAGGGCACATATATATTTTTTTTTCTTGACAAACGCTCAAAATATAAATATTTACATATTATTAAAAAAATGAAATATATAACTGATTTTGTTTTGAATTTTTAAATTAAATCATTACTACTTTATTTGAAATTAGTACAATTGCCCGTGCAAATGTACGGGAGCTACAAAAAAAAATATCATTAAAAGAGTATTTGCAATTCATACAAATGCAGAACGATTGAATATTATGGAACACTTCCTTATATACAACGTTCTTAGTCATTGGGTTGTTTTTATCATCACAAATTAATATTTTCAATCCTTTCACATTTGTAACTCTGAAACAGCGACGTAAAGTTTTGAGTTGTTTTTATCATCGCAAATTAATATTTTCAATCATTTCCCATTTGTAACTCGTGAAAAAGCGACGAAAAATTTGTCATGCGTAAATAGAGTTCTTCAGGTATAACATTCATATAAATTAATCCTCAATAACTAAAATATATATTTTATTTTTGATATGCATAAGATATAATTACCGGCCAATAATAAGTCCTTACAGAAAGAGCCTTTCGCCAAATCGGTAAAACTTTTGAAGTTATACATAAATTTCGGGAAATTTTTATTTGAAGTTTCACCATAAAATTTATCTTCAACCTTGCCATATTAGTTTTATATCTGCCGCTGGTGCTACAATAAAGTGTGGATACCCATAACTCCACCTTAGATGAAAACAAATCTACATGAATTTTTTTGATTGAGGACGTGTATTTTTATATTCCTGTAAAACATTAAAAACACAAATATTAGGAAACAAAATTAAATAACATATGTATAATAACGAAATTAATAAACAAAAATATCTTAAAAGAATCACCTCAATATCAATTCCCAAAATTTAAAATAAAAATATTTATAAAATTCAGGCAAGAAACAAACGAACACTTATAATTACTTTAATTTGTAAAGTATAAATTATAAAAAATAGATAAATAATTTAAACTAAAATCTTTAATAAAAAAATATAATAAAATTTTATAAAATAGCCTGTCAAATATAAACGTCTCGTAAATGGTTAGTATTAATAAAATAAGTCACAACTGATGAACACGTATTAAATTGTTAAATAATGGGTCTTTGTTAGTTATCGATAAACTAAATAAATATTTGAGTAGTTAATATTAATATAAATATGAACACGTATCAAAGAATGTGAGGATTTTCTAAAAATAGTAAGAGTGTGGTAGGACCCACATAAAACTTTCTAAAAATAGGAAGTGTGTTGCCTAATTATATAGTAGATAGATTTATGTGTTTTCTAGTCAAGGCTCATTCTAAATGAATCTAATCTTATTTAATTTATTTGAAATAGCTAGACTGAATGATACTCACAATTACATCTAAACTAGTACGTAGCCCATGCGATGCACAAAAGAATAATTATAAACTGTTTGTATTAAAGCAATGAAATATTAATTAGTATAAATTGATTTTTGCAATTGATTTTGGAGGAACCGGTGCCAACTTGCCAAGTTACTAAATATATGCCTTCTGTTTAGTTTCGTAATTTATGATGTATTTTTTTATTTTGTATTTGTGTTATTTTTCATGGTTTACGATGTATTTTTATTTTTCGTAGTTTTATGGTATCTTTCAATTTTATGAATAATTTGATGATATTAATGTTCTTTTATGTGTTAATTTATAGTCGTTTAATATTATTATGGTTTATAGTTTTTTAAAATATAATAATAAATATCAAAGAACATTTATTAAATAAGTAAAAAAACTATATTTAAATAAAAAATGTTATACTTTTAAATTTAGCAATAGTTTGATGATTTTGAAAAAATGTATAATTTTGCATAACATGATTATTGAGGATGAAAGTGACCAAAGTATACCAATCAAAACTGAGATGGAAACGCCGCCGCCGGAGGTCGAAATGACAATAGATGAAAGTACTCGATTTCAAGAATTCATATCTCAGTAAAAAAAAAATTGAAATAAAGATGATCATATTGCACTTCGAAATGCACTAATTGATCATTTGTGGTTGGAATTCACCAATTCTGAGACTTGAAAGACTATCTATTTTTACTTGTATGTTGTAATTTTAATATTTCATTTTGTGAGTTGTAATTTTTAATTTTATCTTATGCATTGTAATAATTTTATCTTGTACGTTGTAATTTTTAGTTTTTAATGAATATTTATTTCTTCGATTTTATTATGTATTTCCTCCTATTCATAATAAGTGTCGTTTTGGGAAGTTGCACACTAATTACGAATAATTTTTTTACCAATAATAACTCTCATTAATGAAGATATAAATGGATGTTTTAAAAAAAAAAAGATGAAGAGAATATGAAAAGCATAGTGTATTTATTAACTAAATGAGGGTAATAATGGAAAAAGATACACAAAAGATCCAAAATGACATTTATTTTGGTTAATAGTTGATAAAGCCAAAATGACATTTAAAAAGAATAGGAGGTAGTATATGATTATAACTTTATAATTAATTTTATTATATAAAGTCTAAATCGAATTTAAAATAATAGAGTTGTCGGATTTGTAAAGTTGTAAACTATATTGGAGTATTGAAAAGTTGTAAAAGTTGATATAAAAGAGAATATATTCTGAGAATATTCATTTGGATTTGAGAATAAGTTTTTCGGTTGGAGATGACATTAATGGTGAAAAATATTAGTAGGGGCAGGAAAGCAAGAATAGGACTTCAAATAAAAAGGGATGTGTCATGCAATATTTTCTACTAAAATTATTGCATGTAATTTTGAGTAGTGATTGTGTGCATAAAACAAATTTTTAAACAGTGTAGCTTCTACAATTTTGCTATGAAAGTCAAGTTCTATTTTAAAGAGAAGACAAGTGTGAAAATTGGTAGACATTTTATTATGAAAAAATGATGCAATTTGGTGTGGTTCGATTTCTTAATTGTGGTAGATTTTTGGTTCGATTGGTTCGACATTTTTCTACATCGCACTGCAGTTTGTTTTATTATTTCTTGTAGATTTTGATCTATTTATTTTTTTCAGTTTGCTGCAATCTTGTATTGAGCCACACTAAATTTGAATAAAAGTACATAAAGAGTCGAGGAAAATTGAAAAATTTGAGACGAACCAGGTAATTCGATGCAGTTCATTCCAATTATATTAGTATAATCTTTTTTATTCCATTTCAAGACAAATTTCTTTTATATTGCAGTGTGGGCTCTTTTTTTTTTCCTTTCAAAGTTCGTTTTTTTGGTTGTTTGCAACCACGGCTAACCATTGTTAGGTGAGTTTTTGACCAGTCTGGTTTTGTAAATTATCGTCTTCCTTCATAATCTCGCTCCCTTTCCCTCTCTGTCCAGTCTCCACTCTTTCTTAACTTTCTTTCTCTACCCTCCATTTAAGCTCCACACTTTTCGTGCGAGCTCACAGTCCCTCCAAACCCACCTACGCTCTCTCCTCAAACTTCACGCTTTAAACCCCAAAATCCATAAACAGGTGAAGGGAGGGAGAGAGAGAGAGAGAGAGAGAGAGAGAGAGAGAGAGAGAGAGGCTCTGAAGATCTTCACGCCAAATTGTTTCATCCAATTGATTCTCAATTCACAGCCCCTTTTCACAATTTTGGCCGAGTGTTCAGTTCGTCAGTCATGGATTCCACCGCCGATAAGCTATCGCCGTTTGATTTGATGTCCGCGATCTTGAAAGGGGTGAAGCTTGAGAATTCCAACGGGTCCGCGGAGGCGGCGCCGGCGGTGGTGGCGATGATTGTGGAGAACAGGGACCTGATGATGATGGTGGCGACATCCTTCGCCGTGCTCGTGGGGTACTTCCTGCTCGTGTCGTGGTGGCGTGCGGCCAAATTGGCGAAGAAGAAGAAGGCGGAGCCGGTGAAGCTGGTGGTTCCCAAGGCGGCGACGGAGCCGGAAGAAGTGGATGACGGGAAGAAGAAAGTTACTATATTCTTCGGGACTCAGACTGGCACTGCTGAAGGCTTTGCTAAGGTAAATAGGTAGCTAAATTGGAAATTTCCCCTGTAAAATATGTTGGGATCTTTTTGTTACGATCCTCATATTTTTTTTCTGCACATACATATTATGAGATTTATCTGTTATGCCAAAAGATTGATTTTCTTTTTGCATAGGCATTTGCTGAGGAAGCTAAAGCCAGATATCAGCAGGCCAAGTTTAAAGTAGTCGACTTGGTAAGATTTTATTTTTCTGCTCTGAACATCAAGATTTGCGGAATTACTTGTTCAGAGTTTTCTTAAAAGTATTTATGATCTGCTATAGGAAGCTTATGCGGCTGATGACGAAGAGTACGAGGAGAAAATGAAGAAGGAGACATTGGCCTTCTTCTTCTTAGCCACGTGAGTTTAATTATTTTATATAGGTTAACCAACCATTCCAAAATTTATCGAACACAATCCTCGTTTGCGTTTGGGTGTAAAATAATGAAGTGAATGCTCAAGTGCAAGTGGCGGTTCATATGTTAAAACATATAATTTTTGTCCATGAGAATTATTGAGTTGGTTGGGGTTGTTTGTTTGTAGATATGGTGATGGTGAGCCTACTGACAATGCAGCTAGGTTCTACAAATGGTTTGTAGAGGTAAAAGAAAGTGAAGATAAAAATAAACAAATTGTANGTATAATAGATTTATTTTTGTTGGATTTGTCACCTTGTCGAAATTTGGAGTTCAATTCAATTGAATAATTTTGTGCTTTTGTGGTGCAGGGGAAAGAGAAGGGAGATTGGCTTAAGAATCTCCAATATGGTGTGTTTGGTCTTGGGAACAGGCAATATGAGCATTTCAACAAGGTCTGTACCTTTTTTAAAGAACTGAACGTGCATTTTCCGGCTGGCGGATTATTATTTATGCTGTCCTTAAAGCTTTCTAATTCCAATATTGTTGTATGGATTACAGATTGCAATTGACGTGGACAAAATTGTTTCGGAGCTAGGTATGCTTGAGTTTCCCCATTTTTTTGAACATTCGGATTGTTGTTATGAATGAAATATTCTACATGAAAAACATCAGCAATGCTCGGTTAATTAAGTTGCTTTTGTGTCGAAGAAATCTGAACTTGTGATCTGAATGCTTCGGCTGCTGTTATTTTTAATACTTGCTATTTTCTTAGAAAACTTGGAGGAGTAGTTTTGTAGCATGTATTTTCTTGTGCATAATTAATCAGATACCGTTATGAATAAAAATGTGCTTCATATCCATCGGCTGTCAGGCTTTTCTACATATATAATTTCCAATATCATGTGAAAAAGGATGCAAGATCAATTACAATGGAGTTGACATTTGATAATATTTTTTATGAAACTCTAAAGTTGTTCATTTGTTTTCGAAATTCAGGTGGACAACAGCTCGTCCCAGTGGGTCTTGGAGATGATGACCAAAGCATTGAAGATGACTTCACTGCATGGTAATAATAAAATCACCTATCATAATTACCAAAAAATGACAATTTATTTTCCTTTCTAAATATATCTAGTGATTGTTCTATCTCGGTAATAAAAGGCGCGAATTGGTGTGGCCCGAGTTGGATAAACTATTACGCAGCAAGGATGAAACGACTGAATCTACTCCATACACTGCAGCCGTTTTAGAATATCGTGTTGTGTTCTATGATGACCAATTGGATGACTCTATTTCGAGCAAAAGCTTAGCCAACGGTTATGCCAATGGCAATTCTGTATATGATGCTCAGCATCCATGCAGGTATATATATTCCTTCGTGTTGAAGTTATTTAAAAAATGTGCTGATTTTTTTTTTCCTCTTACCGAACATTTTTTTTTTTTTTTTTCTTGAAGAGTGAATGTTGCGGTGAAGAGAGAGCTTCACACTCCTGCATCTGATCGTTCTTGCACTCACTTGGAATTCGACGTAGCTGGAACTGGATTAGCGTGAGTGTGTACTTACAGTTTTAAAAAAGATTATGTGACAATTTTGAAAAACTCACCCATCTTCCAAATTTGATTAATTACATATATTTTCCCCTTTTAGTCTTTATTTTGTAAACAAAAAATACCTCAAGGGGTCACATTTTGCAATCTTTTCACTAAAATGTACTCTTATTTCGTCAGGTACGAAACAGGTGACCATATTGGTGTCTACTGTGAAAACTCGGTTGAGACTGTAGAGGAAGCAGAGAGGCTTCTTAACTTACCGCCACAGACATTTTTCTCAATTCATGCTGAAAAAGAAGACGGGACGCCACTTGGCGGAAGCTCGTTGCCACACCCTTTCCCTCCTTGCACTCTAAGGACAGCTTTAGCTCGATATGCCGATCTTTTGGGTGCTCCCAAGAAGGTGCATTTATGTTCCGCATCACATTTTTTTTTTCTTAATAAATGGTTGGAAATTTTACTTGAATATCACTAAACTTTGAGGCTGCTTTTTTTTTACAGTCTGCTTTGATTGCTTTGGCGGCCTATGCTTCGGACCCGAGCGAAGCTGATCGGCTCAAATTCCTTGCTTCTCCTGCTGGAAAGGTTTCGACTTTTGACGCCTTTTAATTTATATTCCTCCTTATTCTTTTAATCTTTTAACTTCGGCCTATTGGAAATTTTTCTTATGGGTTTTTTTACAATTTTCTTTATTTTTTTTCAGGAAGAATATGCTCAGTACATAGTTGCAAGCCAAAGAAGCTTACTGGAGGTCATGGCTGATTTTTCTTCGGCAAAGCCTCCGCTTGGTGTTTTCTTTGCAGCGATTGCTCCTCGTCTGCAACCTCGATTTTATTCTATTTCATCCTCCCCAAAGTGAGTACTCATTGCTATATTTTTCAAAAGATACATAAAATAAAAACTTTTACCTTTTTCTTTTTAATTCCTTATTATTTATGATTTTTTTCTTTCCAGAATTGCACCATCAAGAATCCACGTGACTTGTGCACTGGTGAATGAGAAAACACAGACAGGACGAATTCATATAGGTGTCTGCTCGACATGGATGAAGGTACTACTTTTAATTTCAAATTGAAGTGAAGGGTTATAGTTTGTTAATAATTTTAGGGAGTAATATTCATTGTTTAATTCTTTAAGCCTACACACAACAATTTTTCATATTTCTTATCAGAATGCGGTGCCTAGTGAGGAAAGCCTCGACTGCTCGTCTGCACCAGTTTTTGTTAGGACCTCGAATTTCAAGCTCCCTTCTGATACTAAAGTACCGATTATAATGATCGGTCCTGGAACTGGCTTGGCTCCATTTAGGGGTTTTCTTCAGGTGACCCTTATTGTTACATCAATTTTCAAGAAAAAAAAAAAATCTAATTTCTTCTTTCATCTTTTGACATAACAGGAAAGATTAGCTTTGAAGGATTCCGGTGCTGAATTGGGTCCTGCAGTATTATTTTTCGGATGCAGGAACAGTAAAATGGTTAGTAGTATACTTTGTTACATAACTGCATATTTGACGATATTCAAATTTTGTACCAAAATCACAATATTTAGAATTTTACTTGTGCAGGATTTTATTTACGAAGATGAATTGAATAACTTTGTCAAAGCTGGAGTTATTTCTGAGCTTGTCCTTGCCTTCTCGCGTGAGGGCCTGGCTAAGGAATATGTACAGCACAAAATGACACAAAAGGTCCAATACCAACATTAATAATGATAAATTAGATCTTTTTTTTTGGTTACCTAATTATACTTAGTATATTTTAGATTTGTCTAATAATAGACATGTGGTGGAATAACAACAGGCTTCGAATGTGTGGAGCATGATCTCCCAAGGAGGGCATGTGTATGTATGTGGTGATGCTAAGGGAATGGCACGTGACGTTCACCGGACTCTCCACAACATTGTGCAAGAACAGGTTTGTGTATATAATATAATATCTCTAGCAAAAAATTAAAAATAAAAAATAAAAAAAAATTGACTGTCGTTTTCCCATCGCTTGTATCCACATGGTGCTTTTTTATTGGGTATGATTCTTGATTCAAGCCCTTCTAAGAATATCNNNGAATATCCTTTTCAGTCGGTTTGACAATGACGAGCGCATAGAGTAAAAGAAAAAGGAAAACATAAGTTTGTCGAAACGTAAAAGATAAAATACTTTTTAGTACTGTGAAGAAGTCCCCACTGTTTTTGTACGAAACTTACACGAGCTTGTATTAATAAATCGTCAATGTCAATGCAGGGATCATTGGACAACTCGAAAACCGAAAGCTTTGTGAAGAATCTGCAGATGACCGGAAGGTACTTGCGTGACGTGTGGTGATCATTTTTTCAAGAAAAAAAATAAAATAAAATAAAATAAAAGGGTTGTGATTTATAAGATCACAAATACTACGCAATGCACGAAAATGTCGAGGTGAGGGTAGTTAATTTGCAGACCACACTTTGCAATATATTTCCACACCCTATAAGCAAGAAGAGATCCAAGACAAAGAGTATTGTAATGTTAGTTCTTTGCTATGCTTTAAGTAATTAGTTTGTAAAAGGGATTCTTTGAGTTCTTGGGCTCTAAATATGCACCATATATAATATGTATTGTAAAATATTACATAATAATTTTTTGGTATATTGATAGTAGAGTATCCTTATAATATCGAAAATGCTGCTGTAGTTTGCATAATCTTTTGGTATAATCATATGATTTAGTCTTTTTGGGGGGAAATATGAGATTTAGATGTATAATGTCTAAATGTTATAGATGGTGTCTCTGCAAATAGACATGTGAATAAAATTGTTGCAGCTATAATTGCAGGTGACCACTCAATTAACAAAATGTTTGCAAAATTGGAACCAACTTGGTGGGTGGAATGGTTGGTCTTGATCTTGGAAGTAAATAGAGGAAACTTAGGGGCAGGAAAAGAGATAAGAAAAATGGTTGGGGACTACTAATGAAAAATTGGAACCAAAGTGATGCATCTTCTTGTTTATCATTAGATGGTAGCTGAAATTTGACTAGAGTTGGGTAAATTCTATCCTACCCCATGGGGGTTTGGCCACAAATTTACACACAATCACACACACCCATGTGGGTGTGTGTGAAATTTGTGGCCAAAAACCCCATGAGGGCACTACCCACCCTCATGGGTAGGATAGAATTTTCTATAGAGTTGGGGCGACAATGAATGACACTGACACTGGAAAAAAAAATACGATTATAGAAATTACTGACACGATAAATACAATACGGTACGATTTGAAACACAACATGACCAACGTGAAATTAGAAAAGAAAAGGGGAAAATTGTATTGAAGGGTTTGATTTTTTAATATTGTGTTACAATAAGGTCTGAATTTTTAACTTTTTTATTTCGGGGTTTCAATTTTAAGTTATTTTTAATCAAAGGCTTACTTTTACATTTTAGTTTTCAATTTAAGACACCAACTAAATCTATATTTTTACATACATAAATATATAAAAATACTATTATTTTAAAATTTATATTTTAAACAACTATAAATATCTTTTGTAAAATTACTTTAGTAAGAAAATTAATTCATTTAAGCTAAATTAATTTTCCATAAATGTAATTTATTTGATTTAATTTTCTTACGAGCTAGTTTTACAAATATATCTAATACTTTTATTATAGATATTAATTTTATGTATTCTTGACTTTTTTAAATATATAAATTTCATTTACAAATAATATTTTCTATAATTTTATTTTTAAAAAATTATTTTTCTAGATAGTTTTTTTTTTAATGTTATTACATATTTAGATTGAAATTAAGTTACAATTTATTTTAAAAATAATTAAGCTTTTGTACAAAATGTAAATTATAAAACAATTATCTTATTAGGTATATTTACTAAAATATTTAATATTTTTCATTATAAGTACTTACAAAATAAGTTAACAAAATATTGTGTTATGTCAAAATACAAAGTGATTTGGAGTCTTAAATTAAAAAGTAGAATATAAAAGTAAGCCTTATTTTGAGATTAACTTAAAAGTGAAACCTTCAATTGAAAAAGTTAAAAATTCAAGTCCCATTATGACATGAAAACATTATAGTGGATCATGGAGCGATAGCTGAATTTATCCGTCCATACTAATTAATCCAAAACTAGTAAAATGCCCTATTAAATTTTCAGGTAAAATATATAATTTGCAAGCAAAAATGGTCATTTAAGAAGATTAATCAGAATTAATCTTGCAGTTTGTTAGGTGCTAGTTGATACAATATTCGATTCCGTTACCTTTTTGTTACTCAGAAAGTTATTATACTCCNTCCTCTTTACAATCACTTATTGACATATTCAAAAACTTGTTTGTTCAGTTTAATACCTACATAAACTATGTCTGTATAATTACAATTATATTATGTTTTAATGTAGAGAAAAGCATATTTACTTTTTTCCCAACACTAAAATTGCCAAATAAATCTGAAATGTAGCCCAGGAGTTCCTCAAGGCTAGACACAACAACCCAATTCTCTCAAATTCTGGCTTTATTTTTGGCATGTTAGCTAGTTTTCATGTTATTTTTATAGGAGATTTAAATATTTTTAATTGGATGTTCACTATTTTACCAAAAATCTATTCGTTTTTAACTTAATATTCAATTATTTGTAATTGAAGAGCCAACTTATCTTAGGTGAGATGATACTATCTCTGCCTTCTCTTTATTAGGTCAAAGATTCACATGAGTAGAGAAATCATAAGGGCATGATCTTTACAACCATAATCCCCCGTCCCCCTCTATATTAATTCAAAACATGCTGAGCCTACGTGGCAGACTCGAATGCTTCGGGATCCTATGTGACAAAATTACATGTTTTGTTATTAGGCTTGGGTAGATTTTAATTTACTTCCAATCCAAAAATAATTAGGTTCGGACTATCCATAAATATGTTGATTATTTATGGTCATGTTTTCTTATTATAACCATTGAATTGTAAAAATATATTTTAAAAGTTAATAACTTTTGTATTTTTTATCAGTTTTACATATATAATATATCAAATTAATCATCTCTTGATGAGCTTCGATTTAACATCCATATTGTATGTATAAAAAATAAATTATATTTATATTTATAACAATAATAAAATTATTTTTTTAATATTAATTAGAAAAATAAAAAAATAAATTATATTTATCTTTATAACAATAATAAAGATAGCAAATCTAAAAAATGAAATAAAAAATTGAAACATATAGTGGGAAAAAATATATTTATTGAGAAAAGTGCCCAACAATATGTATTGGCCCGACCGCCTCGGAGTCAAAATAGCGAACCCTTCGCCTACTGCATCGCGGTCGTCCCCATTGCCTGTGCAAATTCCAATTTACAAGACTCCTTAATTAATTGATTTAAAAATTACCTTTCTTCAGATATACAGAAATAATTAATTTTATGTCCTTTTTTTTTCAATTTTCGTTGCATGCTTTATGTTTCATGTCCCTTTCTCTTGACGCATAATTTCAAACTCCCAATGAAAAAGACACATTTTACTAAAAACAAAAAACACGTAAATACAGCTCTAGTGTATTGTCTACTCACCTTATACCTTAAAAATATAATTAAAAGATTAAAAAGAAATGACTATAATTAATGAGCCGAACGAGAGTCCAAACTAAAAAATAAAAGATTAAAAAACGAAACAAATGAAAGTAAATGGAGAAAAAGAATAAAATGCTTTATTTTTCAAATAGATTCGACCCTATCTTGTGGATATTGCCCTCATCGAAGTTTTAATAGTTCAATTATATATTCGTGCTGGTATGTGTTAATCGGACGGTTAAAATCTCATTGGGAGTGCCCACAATTTAGGGTCAAATTCACTCTTTTGCATTTGGAAGCAAACACCACATTCTTTAATTTATTAACAATCTCTCGTACTAATTTCGTTTGCAACTCTACTTATTAGAGCTACATATACAAACATATTATTGCTTTGGACATAGGGTGCCTCCTATGAAGTGAGTGCTTGCAACTACAATTTAATAATTTTCTTGGGTGTTGAGAGAGTTAAATTTAATAAAATAGATCTTGTATCTATTTATATCATTCACAATTCATTGCTCATTAAAATAATTGTTAGCAATGCCACTAGAGTAGGGTTGCAAACAGGATCATTGGTCTTCTTGAATTAGGCTTGATTTGTTTTACTATCGTTTGAGCTCGACTCAACAAAACAATAAAAATATTGATCGGCTCGAGATCGACTCGAATTTTACCATATCAGCTCGAATTTTCAATAATTTTTTTCTCTCGAGTTTGGTTTGAGTTTAGTTCATGTTTGGCTCTAATTTAGCTCATGCAAGAGGTATTTAAGAAGATTACATTTATTGTCGAGCACTCAGAGTTTATAACATGCAAACTCTAGTTCGAATTCGAGTTTAAGGCAATTGAGCTTGAACTCAATTAATACAACACCTTATCGTGGGTGAGATTGTGAGAGTTATGTAAGCTATAAACTCATGGTTCATTTTCTTTTCACATTAAGTACGTTAAGAATTTTAAATGAAACTAAATGATGTCATGGTTTATTTAACAAAGTGATGAAGACGAGATTGACGTGTATTCTTGGAAAAAAATGATCATCTGCCAACTTAAGCATAATTATTTATTTCCTTTGTTATGTTTATTATTCCTCTTATATATTTAGTTAAGGAAGGTATTTATTTTTAATTGGTAATTGCTTGTTATAAATAAGTTAGGTCTTTATGGTGTGTGGGACTCTTTATTATTTATCTCTTCTCTTAGACGGATGGGTGATTGATCGAAGAATGCAGAAAATTTGAGATTTCATTCTCTTTTTATCCCTTTCGTCTACCACGTTCTACATCACAAAGACTCATGGAATCGACTTAATTTCACTTGGCTGAAATTTATATTTCAATCATCATTTCATTATTAATTATTGGAATTACATGTCGTTCTTGATAAATATTCGATGCTAATTGCCTAAACAAAAAAAATTAAAATATCCTTTCTACAGGACCTTTATGAACAACATTACAGCTAGCCAGGTTTAATCTTACACAATTATATTATTTTAAACAAATTTGTATACTTATAGCTAAATATTATATTTTAAAAAGTAATGTAAGCCATTCTTTTAAACAAATGTATACATTTAATATTTATACTTAAATAAATATCACATTTAAAAAATAATGTAAGTCGACCCATTTAATATCTTAAGATGTGACAGTTGTTAAGAATATTGTAAAAATAAATTAAAATTATATCACAACAAATAATTAATTAATGTGCAATTATGACGTTAATTTTTGAACTCCAAAAAAGGTCGTAGCTCGAGTTTAGGGTATTGTTTTCAGACATCATCTGACCATCGCCCGACATTTGTGCTCTCAATCTTCTAGTATATCACAATTCATGTCCGCAACAGTCTAATCGTTAGGCGAGTCGACTCGTCAAATATATTTTTCTAACAAATACATACTTATATTATAAAATGTCAAACTTTTATTTATTTTGTCTTTTATAATATGATATTTCAATATTTCTGCTTATGTATGTACGTTGAAAAAGTACTAGACTAACCGTTAGTCTTTGCTAGACTTTCTATATATAAATACACACACTCATTACCTCGTTTTCACCTTTCTCCTTACATTAATCCTCAAACATATATACATATTTCCCATTCTCTTACAATTTTTTTTCCCTCATCAACAAAAAGGCAAGAGTTAAAGGTAAAAAGAATGTGGCAAGAAAGAAAATTAGACGAAAAACCGAACTTCCCGAAAACACACGTGTCGAGCTTTCGCGGCCCCTCGGCCGCTAGTAAAACTCAACTGCGGCCGATTTTGTCCGGCGGGTTTGACGAGGTGGCGGCGATGGTTCCTCCGGTGACGGTGGTGGTGGAGGGCCGGTCGATCTGCCACCGCATCAGCCTCCACAAGCACGGTGGCTACCGGAGCTTGGCCCTAGCCCTCAGGCAGATTTTTATAGATAATTATAATACTAATGTTGATTGTAGTAGTAGTAATAATAATAGTGAGGAAGATGAAATTTGTGGTATTGATCTATCAAATGCTGTGCCGGGGCATCTGATAGCGTATGAGGACATGGAAAATGATCTGCTTTTGGTCGGTGACCTAAATTGGAAGTAAGCATTATTTCTTCTAATTATTATTATTATTATTATTATTATTATTATTATTATTTAATTTGTTGTTGTGCTGCTGCGTTCTTCTTGTTATATATTAATGGATGAATTCTCGAGATTGTTTCAGTACAAATTTTTGTGTAAGACAGAATAATCGTTCATTAGGTTAATCCGCCATAATTTTTTAACTAAATGCATACTTTTGATATGGAATGTCACACTTTTATTTGTATTATTGTACTTTTTGAATATAACATTTCGAGTTGAAAGTGTATATATTTGTTGAAAAAACATATATATTATTTATGTGTTTTTGTTTGTTTAATTTTTTGGACAAAATTAAAACGGAGATTTCTGTAATGAATTTGCAGGGATTTTGTTAGGGTGGCCAAGAGAATCAGAATACTTCCGGCAAAGGCTAAATCAAGAAAGCAGAAAGATGGGGAGTCAAATATTTGATCATTTGTTGATAATTTTTATTTTAGTTTCCTATTTTAGTTCATAAAAAAAAGGGCCTTATAAACAAGCCTATAATTCAGGCACTCAGAAGGATTATATATATCTTAGTTCAATAATGAACATTTGAGTGAATAAAAGATATTTTTTTTTTTTAAATCAGGGATGGATGGTATTGGTGGTGTGCCATGAAAATCAAATTGGTAATTTTCTGAACATTCATATTTTTGTGTGATGTACCTTCAGATTAATTCATATGATCCAATTGTGTGATCTAATTAAAGTTCTTCTTAATTTGTTTTCTCTTTTGCTTTTTTATTATTATATTTAATTTGTCTGTCCTAGAGTTGTTAAACGAATTGAATTGCTCGTGATTTTTTTTTTTAATTTATATAGTTCGCCTTGTTATAAAGCTTGAGTTTAATTTGTTAAAGTTCGATCTCAATTCATTAATATTGTAAACGAATCGAGTTTGAGTTTGCTTATTGATTTATTAACTAAATGAGCCGATTTAACTTAATAATGAGCTCGAACTCGAACTCGAATATTAGAAATTCAAACTCAACTAATTTACACCCTTCATACAAAAAATGGATACAGTGCAATATGCGTGGGTTAGTCAGTCAATTTTTTTTCTTCTAAAAATGATATTTTAAATATTGTTTATAAAGTATATCATTTAAAGAGTGTTAAAAAACACATGTCCACCTAACAATTATACTATCAAACAACAACCCATCACTATAATTTGGTGTTTAATTAGGTTAGTGTGCCAAAATTGAGTTAGATTTTTGGGTGTCGGTGGCACCATAATTAACATAGATATTGAGTTTTCAACTCACCATTGATTATTCCATTTTATATTTAAAAGAAAATAGCAAAAGACACCATAATAAAATATCAATTAATGTGCTTTAAAGCATTCATCGCTCTCTAAAGCAAAAATGTTGTATTCTGCCAGATGAATTTAAATAAAAATTCTTGAAATATGATTTTCAATCAATAGTATTTAGTGTGATAGTGTCACACCCCATTTATATTTACGTGTTGGGTTGGATACAACAAGATATTATTGCTAAATGCTAATGGTCCAAAACGACATGACAAGTCAAGTGCAACATAAATATTATCTATTTATTGTCAATAAAGCTGTCTAACTTATCCAATTGATTATCAGAATCATTAGCATGTGATTAAATCATTAAATATAAATTATTTTGAAAAAAAAAATGTCTTGAAAGGAAAAAAGTGATGATTTTTTTTTTTTTGTTGAAAGTAATAATTATTTAGATTCCAAAGTATATGAAATAAAATCCATGATTATAATTAATGTGATATAAAAATAGTAAAATAACAATTATAAATGATGGATAGTTAAAAGTATGGTGAACAAGGAATTTTATTGGAAGAAATGTTTTTCTTTTCCTTAATTTCTGAATAGATCATGGAGAAAATAATATGTTTGAATAAATTTTATTTTTCTTAAAAAATTTATATTGAATCTTAGTAGTTCGTTTAGTTAACGAGCTCCAATTCGAATATTAGAAGCTCAAGTTCGGTTCGACTCTGTTCGTTTATACCCCTAACACATGCTAAATTACATGCAAATCTCCATTTTTATAATGCATATTTTTTTTTCAAAAAAATCTCATTCAATACAATATGTACTAAAAACTAACTGATAATCAATACATGGCTGAAACTTGAAAGTCCGGATGACCTCAATGGACCCATAATCTGATATTGATGGCATACCAATTAAAAATAGAAAAGTTAATTATTTTATTTGGTGTTTTAATTAACAATGCAACAGAGAACTGTGAATATATATAGATTATAAATAAATAATTAATTCTACTTTCAATCAAAATGATTTAATTACACGCTATAGTTTCGGTTTTGAAAGTAACACATATGTTCAGAGTCATGTCTAACAGTCAATACGCATTCTCATTTTTCACGAAGCACAATCATATCCATCAGCAATTTAATAGCCTTCACAAAACAGAAATTAGTCGGTGCTCAGAATTCATTCCAGGTTACATCCTCAAAATTTCAGCAAGCAAGAAAATATTAAGCAAAGGACTTCAACTCACTTCCTAAATCAGCTAATACATATTTTGCTGAAATCCCATCTTTTACTTTCAAAAACTCGATTAACAAATTTTGCTTTATAAAGTATCTGTCATGAGAAACTTCGATGACAGTCCCTTGATATTCATTTATCGCCTCCTAAAGAAACACAAATAAAAAATAAATGAAGAGAATTGTTTAAGAAGCATTACTAGATATGAGTCACAAAGATGGAAAGAGGAAAGAAAACAATTAGAAAGTAAACCTCAAGCATCTCTTTTGTGGTTATGTCCAGATGATTGGTTGGCTCATACAGAACAAGCAGAGTCGATGGTTTGACCATAAACTTGCAAAAAGCAAGCCGAGCCTGCGCAGGGAATGGTATGGAATTATTGATTGAAACTTATAAGAGCTTCCAAAATGGAGGACAAACCAGAGGGTTCCTATGTGATGATTGTGTTCAGAAGATATTTTTTTAGAAACTAATACATATTTTGAATGTTAGAAACTAATACATATTTTTTTTTTTCACTTTTTGAAAACATTAAGTTGAAATTTATCTTTTTCCTTAATAAGTACCAAAAGTTAAATAATTTATTCATGAGATTAAAATTTAAAGCATAAATAAATATAAAAAATGGCCAATATGTACAAGTATGCAACCATAGTGCAGAGTGGAAATGCAAATGCAATAAGTTCCGAGAGGCTTTCATAGGGAGAAATATGTTCCAACTATTGTAGCTCAAACCGTTCTAACTTCTAAGCACATAAATATATCTGTGCAAGATGAAATAAGGAAATGCCGAAATGCAAAGAGAATGTTAAAACCGACAGAGCAATTATGCGATCAAATATTTCAAAATCTAAACCCGGCATGAGTTTGCTGGAGGGGAATAAACTTTGCAGCATATCTTCTCTCTCTACAAGAAACTCTTCAGGTGAGAGCGAGTCACTGATTCCAGTCTCTTCCACAAAAATTCGAGACCAATCAAAAGTCTTTTTGTATCTAGCAAGGATGATCTCCTGGACTTCAGTATAGAATTTTTCCCCATCTGAAAATTTAAAGAGAAAAAATAAGAGCAAATATTCGATTAAAAAAAAAACAGAAGCAAATGCTTGTATTTGGATATGAAGCCACAAAGCTGCCACCTATGTTAACTTGGGACATGAAAAATGGAAAGAAAACTCTTTAATTTCTTACTTTGTAACTGTAAGGTTCCGACTACTCCTCAAATTGTGTAGTTGGGTGTTATGTTCATCTATCATAACTTCAATCTGAAGCTCCACTTCCCCAAAGCACTCCTCTTGTTCCTCTAATATCTTCTTTGCAGAAAGCACGGCGGAGTCTAAATTATAAAATAATTATGTTTTCCAGATTATGAACAATTCCAGATCAAATTATGAAGCCGCAAAACTCCAAACCAAGACTCTCACACATTTTTTCTTTTTTTATTCTTTTCAGAAAGTTGCTCACCAAGTCCATCATACCTACTGTTGTTATACAGTAAAAATAGCCTCAATTATATTGATATTGGTTTTGGAGGAAGGTTTTCCGGGTGAGGCCGTGGAAAGAGAGGGAAATCATGTTGAGGAGCATCGGTGGAAAGGTTTCACGATAAATGTGTTATTTAATCTGATGTTTGTAGTCGTTTTCAGGTCCTAACTGTAATCTGAAGCTCTACTTCCCCAAAGCACGCTTCTTGTTCCTCTAATATCTTCTTTGCAGAAAGCACGGCGGAGTCTAAACAATACGACACATGGATCTCCCTAAGCGTGGGTATATCCCCAATTCCCAATGGAATCTCCTTCAGCTTATATAGGTACTCTAGTATGAGCTGCTCGAGGCACGGGAAGTGCGTGGCCTCCACCCTCCACTGTTCCAGATCACAGCAGCTGTCAATTTGCAAGTATCTCAGGCTTTGGAATCCACCCTCGGCTGTTTCCCACTCAGGCCCCACGAACGCATTATCGTATATCTTGAGGGTCTCCAGAGATGGCAAGGAGCCTATCTTTGTCCCCATCTCCTCCCACCCCAGCTTCGTGCCTTCAAGAGTCAGCTCCCTGAGCGTATCCGGGAATGTGATTCTCATCATCACTTCACTTTTCCTCGAAAAAATAGAGAAATAAAGACACTCCAGCTTATGTAGTCGGCAGAGATTGTCGAGATCATAATCATCCTCCTTGTCGTCGTATTGGATTCCGAGCATCTTGATATTGGGGATTCTCTCAACCACTTGCTCACTGCACTTGAAGTTACGTATTGTCGTGAGCGTCTCTAGATTCTCCAACACCATCCAACAACCATTTTCCAATTCTTCTTTCGGAGGAGGATCCGTGAGCTGGAACCAGCTGTATATCATGACGTGCCTGAGTTGGGGCATCCGCCAGATGTCCAGCACCGCAGCGCCCCTACGATATGAATTATATATCTCTAACATCCGTAAATTCCAGAGTAGGTAAAATTCCGGAGGAAATTCAAGCTCCTGCTCTATAATTAGTTTGAAGCTCAGGTGGCGCAAGTTGACCCTATGAAAAAGTTCTCCTCCAATTATGTATCCATGCAGAACCCTCAACAATCTAAAAGGAACAAAAGATGGTAAAGTTTGATAAAAGTTGGATATCAGAGTTCGCGCACGTGATGCCAATTGCACAGCTTCAGGGATTGCTGAATGGACAGTGTATGTCCTCTCTGATGCGGCTTTCTGAATGCTGATGCGGCGTTGGGCACACCAGCTTTGGTTGTGGTCAGGGTGGCTATGCGTTGTTGTGTGGAAGAATTTATATTTCTCAGCTTCCTTTATGCATAAGTCCCTCAAGAGATCGTGGATGCTGCACCATTTTATCCTTCCATTACTGCCCCTGACACGAACCATGATTAGGTTTCTGAGGACAAGATCGTCAAAGTACACTAATCTCGCAATTGTTTCCAAGCTTTTACCAGCAACCGCCGGTTTCACAAATCCTTCATCAACCCATAGCCTGATGAGTGTGGATACTTGAATCGGCTCGTCCTCCCGGAATATGCCCATGTAGAGAAAACACGGCTTCAGGTGGACTGGCAGTTGATTGTAGCTCAACTTTAGTATTCTTAAGCAACGCTCGTCCTCCTCCAAATTCACAGTCGAGCTTAAATTTTCTAAAACGTGTTGCCAGTTTTCCTGTGTTTGTTCAGACTTTGCTAGGAGTCCTCCGATGACGACAATCGACAATGGAAGGCCTCTGCAGTTCCTAGCAATGTTCTTCCCAATCTCTTCCAGTTCCGGATGTTGTTCTTCCCCAAACACGCACCTTTGCAGAAGATTCCAACTTTCGTCCAGATTCAGAAAAGGCATTTGAAAGTAGTCTGGGCCATCCAGTTGCAAAGCCACTTTCGATGGCCTAGTGGTTATTAGTACTCTGCTTCCGTCGTTGTTATTTGGAAAGAAACGCTTCATCTCGTCCCAAGCGTCCGTACCCCAAATGTCATCCATCACAATCAGATATCGTCGGCCAAATAAGCTCTGATACAGTTTTTTTTCCTAATTCTTCATATTCCTTCTCCTCACTCCCTCCTATACAGTGAAGGACTTCTAACAGGACTCTTTTGGAATTACATTCTTGAGAAATTGTAGTCCATCCTCGCATATCAAAGTGTTCCACAATCAGAGGATGTTCATAAATATTTTTTGCAAGAGTGGTCTTACCGATGCCTCCCATGCCCGCAATTGCAATGACCCAACGACTGGATTGTCGATCGACCAGCTTACCCATGACGTCGTTCATGACATCATTCGTGTCATCCTTCTTCCAATAAGTACGGTTTTTCAGCTTATCCAGGATGTTGTCGTTCATGACATCATCTGTGGTGGCATCATCCTTGTGAGCAATTTTTTTCCGGGCCTTGTCTTTAATAGCAGCAGCTACGCCTTTTGCGATGGAATCCAAATCGTTAATCACTTTCTGCAGATCTCGATACAAACAAGAGTCGTCGTCTTTGTTAGCTTCACCACGAGCATCCTTGATATGATCGGCAATGTGGGACTCTATTATATCCTCTGCTTCATTAGCCGCATCAACCATACGCCCCTCCAAATCATCTGCATCATCATCAATGGTATAGTTTTCAAGAAAATCTTGCAAGAAACCAACTTTTTTTATTAGAGGTTCGATTTTTGTTTTGTCGAGAGAGATGGGTGGGCGAGGATGATTCTGGATTTGGTGTATGGTGGTGGTAAGAGAAATCAGAGCTCCATAAGCTGCCATGGATTCCCTGTTTGCTGAAAATGAAATCCGATCAGCTTTTTTTAGCTAGGAAAAGTGTATAATGAGAAGTGAAAGCTGCAGCAAGTCTTTTGAGCTCAAATGCTTGTGGTGAAGAAAAAGAATAACAGAGACTTGGATGAAATATGAAACAGATAGTAGACTATAGACAATAATTCTGCACATGGAAAAAGCATTACGTTAATGGCCGACCCTTGTGACCCACAACGACTTGATTAATAAATGGTTCTTGGTTAATAAATAAAATTAATTTCCTTATATGTGGCTCGGGTTATTCATGGGTACGTAATACTTATTAAAGAAATTTTGATTACATTAAAAGTAACCTAAGTTATTATACGAGGGTACTTAACATTAAGCAAGTTGACTTTTTTTCAAATAAAAATGTATATTTATTATATGAAATGTAATATTTTATTTATATTATTTTTACTTTATGACATTTCAATTTAAAAGTATGCATACGTGTTGAAAAAATATGATGTGTAATCACTATGTTTTTCTGACAGGAACTTAGTCCTTTGTGAATTAATAAGTTAATTAATCATATGTTGTCATTATCTTGAAAAATATAATTATGTTTCTAATTGAGCATGATTTATAAAATAATTATGTTCTCCGAATTATTATGAACTTACAGATCAAATTATGAAGCCATAAAACTCCAAAGTCCAAACCATGACTCTCNNTCTTCAGAAAGTTGCTGACCAAGTCCATCATACCTACTGTGTTATACAGTAAAACTATACATATCGAACTGACCAGAGATACACATTTCACAATACAGCTTAAGCAAGCAACTGTTAAGTATACCTTTAATCTTATTTATTTATTTTTAATAGATATGTATACTTTTAAACTAAAATATCATCTTATAACAACAAAAATAATAAAAAGTTTGTCATTTCATAATATAGTTTTGTCTCAAAAGTATATGTTGACTCAACTCACCTAGTTCTTGTGTACACAGTAAGGTTCCAAAATGTGGCTCTTGGATAATTACCTGATCTACCCTTTCGAGATCAAGTACACAAACAGGGGATGTAACAAATTGCATTTTAAGTTCCGGTTGGAAAAATATTACGTCGATTACATTCTCTCACCTTTCGAAGGAAAATGTAAATAAGTTTTGCCGACAATGTGTCGTTTGAGTAATAAGCTGCCGAGTTTTTCGCGTAAGAAAATTCACTACCTGCAGGTTGGTCCACAAATATAATATCGGCCACCTGTAAATATTTTCGAAATAAAACTTCAGTCTCGACTATACGCATGCATACGACCAACTGAAAAAAGAAAATAGTTACTACCAAAATACAACCTTTGTCCAATAGAAATCGTTCAGCGTCAATGGTGGAATGCTCTCGTTCGAATTGGAAATGCCGATGGTGAAGGGACCTATATTTACATAAGCATTTTGCTACGAAAACAAGATAAATTTTGAAAAATATAATAAGAAAATCACGTACCAATCTGATAAACGAAACCCAAAAGGCCTGAACAACCTGTGAGCCACAGCATTAAAGGGGCTTCTTCGGGTTTGCTTTCCGACTCCACGAAGTAATAGAAAAGCTTGATATCTTCCTTTTGAATTCCCATGCCGATATACCTTTTTTTTTCCGGAAAAATAATGAATGTTTTCTTACATTATTGTGGTTATTATTTGTGAGTTATAATGCGTATATATATACATCACTGGTGAAATGTATTGCTCAGAACAAATCACGCCACCGGTTAATCCTGTTGCTTTAATTCATGCTTGAAAACTAGTATTTATAATTTTTGTGTGACATAAACACAACCTTACATCTGTAGCTCTAATGTGATTCTCTCGGTTCAAACGTTTGTCTAAGAAAAGTTTCATATGTTAACTAAGTAGTTAACAAGGTTAGGCTCAATCATTACCGTTTTTGGCTTGAAGATCTAAACGAAAAACTCGACCAAGTAGACGTTTTTTGGGCTTGAAGATCTAAACGACAAACTAAACCTGAGTATACACATGTTTTACGGTTTGAAGCTCTAAAGGACAAGCTCAACCAACTAAAATTGAGACCAAGCTAGTCCAAAAAATTCACATCAATCTATAATTGTAGCACAAAGTTAATTCATCAAGCATGTATATGTTAAGTGGGTGGTATGGGAATTTACGAACATTGCTTGAAAAATGAGAAGCAAAGAAACGAAACTAATTAAAGTCGAGGCATGTAAAACACGTTATCATTAAGAAGAAATTTTCCGCCATTGAATACTTACGTTATCTGTAATGTGCATCCTAACTCAAATTTCAGCTATTAAACTCAATTTTTCCTACATTTTAACTCCATTGTACTTATAACTAATTTCTCATTTATCCAATCAGATCCGTAAAATCGGGACAAAACCATTGTTCTTACTGTATACATAAGAAAAAGGAAAAAAAATGGCCGGAGAAATTCAAGAGGCATACCCAGTTTCAAGCTTGAACGGCAGTTTAACAGGAAATCCCGATAGCTTCTCGATCACATTTTAGTCGATTAAAAGGCTAAAAAAGCTTCTCGAGCTAAACCAAGTTGTGTTCGCAACAACTTGGTTCGAAAGAAATTTCTACACACCAATATATATTCAGCTAAAAAAGCTCAAACAAATCGATCAAAAGGCTCTAACCAGCATACATTTGAAATATCATACAAATCCAATAATATATACATACATATATATTTATTATATTTAGTAATGTCATGATTGTTCCTTTATTATATAATTTTAATTTAAATACAAAATTACCTTTTAAAAATGACGGAATAATAAAGCCCATGCATCGCGCACGGGTACTGTACTAGTTCTAGGAAAAGGGAAAACCACTAATTGAACTATACCGAGAAACTTGAGAAGGATATTTACTAATTTAGACACAAATTACTGAACATACAGAAAATTTTAACACTGGGATGGATTAACTCATAAAACCAGAAAGAAGTGGTGATCTCAGAGGATTGAATTGAAACTTATAAGAACTTCCAAAATGGAGGAGGACAGAACAGAGGGTTCCTAGATGATTGTTACAGAAGATTTTTGGATGTTAGAAACTAATCCATATTTTTTTTCCACTTTTTGAGAACATTAAGTTAGAATTTATCTTTTTCCTTAATAAGTACCAAGAGTTGAATAATATATTCATTAGATCAAAATTTCTGGCATAAATAGAAAATTGGGCTAATATGTTCAAAGGTTGATAATTGAGTTTTGATTGGTTGGAACCATTAGCTATTAAACAAACCCAACCAATTTTATTAGAGTGTTTAAGATTTATTTTCTTTTCTTGTGATTGAATAATCGTACAAAACAATCTGGCTAGCCTTCCTTGCGATACGACCAGGTGATCGATTCTTTTGAATTAACTCCGGTAAAAATAATTTACAGCAATGATCGTTATACATGCAAATGAGGAAGATGAGCATTTATAAGCTCATGCAGAGAGTAAACGACGTCGTTCCCATATTAAAAATTAACACATGACAAAACGACCTCGCCTTAACTAAAAGAAACGCAACAAGAGAAAAAAAAGCGTGCAACGCTTTAGTAACAAAGAAAATAAACCACACTAACACCTCACAATATATCTAACATAACAGAAATGACGTGTGAGCATGAAGGACAGGTGACAGCTATGCGAATAGTAATAAGCAGGGGTGACTCTAGAAAATAAAGTTAGGGGGACAGAAACAATTAACGAATCAAATCGTATTGGTGTGATTCGTGAAAACTGAAGTTCAGCTCGCTAATATATTTAAACGACCCAAAGTTATAAATATTATTCAAGCTAGTATTTTAATGAGTTTAGTCAGACTGCCGTTTAATTGTAAAGTTTTGACTACTCGTCAAGTTGGGTAGTTGGTGTTCATCTATCCTAACTGTAATCTGAAGCTCCACTTCCCCAAAGCACTCCAGTTGTTCCTCTAATATTTCCTTTGCAGAAAGCACGGCAGAGTCTGAACAATGAACCACCTCGATCTCTCTAAGCGTGTTTATATCCCCAATCCCCAATGGGATCTCCTTGAGCTTATCTAGGTAAGATAGTCTGAGCCGCTCGAGTCTCGGAAAGTGCGTGGCCTCCACCCTCCACTGTTCCAGATCAGAGCACCTGCCAATAACTAAGTATCTCAGGCTTTGGAATTTGCCCTCGGCTGTTTCCCACTCGGACCCCACGAACGCATCCCTATATAGCCTGAGGCCCTCGAGATGTGGCAAGGAGCCTATCGTTGTCCCCATCTTCTCCCACCCCAGCCTTGTGCCGCGAAGAGTCAGCTCCCTGAGCGAAACCGGAAATGTGATCCTCATCATCACCTCACTTTTCCTAGAAAAAATAGAGAAATAAAGAGACTCCAGCTTATGTAGTCGGCACAGATTGTCGAGATCATAATCAGCGGCCGACAATAATTCATCGTATTGGATTCCGAGCTTCTTGATATTGGGGATTCTCTCAACCACTTGCTCACTGCACTTGAAGTTAAGTACTTCCTCCAGCGTCTCTAGATTCTCCAACACCATCCAACATCCATTTTTGACTTCTTTCGGATACGTGAGCTGGAACCTGGATATCATGACGTGCCTGAGTTGGGGCATCCGCCAGATGTCCAGCACCGCAGCGTAAAAGTCCCTACGATACGAATGACCTATACGCAACGTCCGTAAATTCCAGAGTAGGTAAATTTCCGGAGGAAAATCAAGCTCCTGCGATATAACAAGGTTGAAGCTCAGGTGACGCAAGTTGACCATATGAAAAGGTTCTCCTCCTGTTAAGTATCCATGCAGAACCCTCAACAATCTAAATCTAAAAGGAACACAAGATGGTAAAGTTTGATGAAAGTCCGATATCAGAGTTCGCACACGTGATGCCAATTGCACAGCTTCAGGGAATTGGCATGCTGAAAACGACCCACCTCGAAAACGGATGATTTTCATCTCTGATGCGGCTTGCTGAGTGCTGATACGGCGTTGGGCACACCAGCTTTGGTCATGGTCAGGGTGGTTGTGCGTTGAGCGGAAGAATTTATATTTCTCGGCTTCCTTTATGCATAGGTCCCTCAATAGATCGTGGATGTTGCACCTTTCTATCCTTCCATTACTGCCCCTCACACGAACAATGATTAGGTTTCTGAGGACAAGATCGTTAAAGTACACTAATCTCGCAATTGTTTCCAAGCTTTTACCAGCAACCGGTTTCACGAATCCTTCATCAACCCATAGACTCATGAGCCTGGGGACGTTAATCGACTCGTCCTCCCGGAACATGCCCATGTAGAGAAAACACGGCTTTAGGTGGACTGGCAGTTGATCGTAGCTCAACCTTAGTATTCTAAAGCAACGCTCGTCCTCCTCCAAATTCACAGTCGAGCTTAAATTTTCTAAAACGTGTTGCCAGTTTTCCCCAGACTTTGCTAGGAGTCCTCCAATCACAACAATTGACAATGGAAGGCCTCTGCAGTTACTAGCAATGTTCTTCCCAATCTCTTCCAGTTCCGGAGGAGGAGGAGAGCACCCTTGTTGTTCTTCCCCAAACACGCACCTTTGCAGAAGATTCCAACTTTCGTCAAGGTTCAGAAAAGGCATTTGAAAGTAGTCTTGGCCATCCAGTTCCCAAGCCACTTTCGATGACCTAGTTGTTATTAGTACTCTGCTCCCTTCGTTGTTGTTATTTGGAAAGAAGCGCTTCACCTCTTCCCACGCATCCGTACCCCAAATGTCATCCATCACAATCAAATATCGCCGGCCAAATAAGCTCTGATACAGTTCTTTTCCTAATTCTTCATATTCGCTGTCCTCACTCCCTGTACACCCTATACAGTGAAGGACTTCTAACAAGATTCTTTTGGAATTATATTCTTGAGAAATTGTACTCCATCCTCGCCTATCAAAGTGGTCCACAATTAGAGGACGTTCATAAATATTTTTTGCAAGAGTGGTCTTACCAATACCCCCCATGCCCGCAATTGCAATTACCCAATGACTGGATTGTCGATCGACCAGCTTACCCATGACGTCGATCATGACATCATTCGTGTCATCCTTCTTCCAATAAATACGGTTTTTCAGCTTATCCAGGATGTTGTCGTTCATGACATCATCTGTGGTGGCATCATCATTGTGAGCAATTTTTTTCCAGGCCTTGTCTTTAATAGCAGCAGCCACGTCTTTTGCGATGGAATCCAAATCGTTAATCACTTTCTGCAGCTCTCCATACAAACAAGAGTCTTTGTCGTCTTTGTTAGCTTCACCACGAGCCTCATCTGCCTCATCTGATTCCCCCATCATTTTCTGTATGTATTGATACAAAGACTCTTCATATTCATCCCTAATATCCCTAATATGATCGGCAATGTGGGACTCAATTATATCTTCTGCCTCGTGAGCAGCATCAACCATACGCCCCTCCAAACCATCAGCATCATCATCAATGGTATAGTTTTCAAGAAAATCTTGCAAGAAAGCAACTTTTTTTATCAGAGGCTCGATTTTTATTTTGTCGAGGGAGATGGGTGGGCGAGGGTGACTCTGGATTTGGTGTATAGTGGTGGTAAGAGAAAGCAGAGTTCCATAAGCTGCCATGGATCTCCTGCTTGGTGAAATGAATAGCTAGGAAGAACTGTAAGATGAGAACTGAAAGCAGCAAAAAATATTTTTCTCAGCTCAAGAAGAAAATGAATTAGACTCATTCAGATGAATGTGTGTGAATTGAAAATTAGATCTGGAGTTTTGAGTTGCGTAGAGTAGGTACAAGACGATCATTATTGTACAACAGTTGGGTGATTGGGACCATTAATAAGTGAGCCTGACATCTTGACCCACGATGACCTTATAGTCAATAATTCTGCACATGGAAAATTTTGATTTTGCTAACTTTGCGTCTTTCACAACACATACAATGTCATTAGTTAATCTAAATGGTTCTTAGCCAATAAATAAAATTATTTTCCTCCGGTAATTCATGGCTACGTATTAAAGAAAATTTAATTACATTAACATAACTTATTATATGAGGGTACTTAACATTAAGCAGGTCTGACTTTTTTTTTAATAAAAATTATATTTTATACTATAAAATGTCGTATATTTATTTATTTATTATTTTTTTTACAACGTTTCAATTTGAAAGTATGTAAACATGTTGAAAAAATAATATGAGTATGTAATCTTTATGTTTTTCTGACAAGAACGTAGTCCCATCAGTTAATTACGAATTAATAAGTTAAGTAATCATGTTGTCATTATCTTGAAAAATATAATTATGTTTCTAATTGAGCATGAATTATAAAATAATTATGTTTTCCAGATTATGAACTTACAAATCAAAATATGAGGCCACAAAACTCCAAACCAAGACTCTCACACATTTTTTCTTTTTATTCTTTTTCAGAAAGTTGCCGACCAAAGTCCATCATACCTACTGTTGTTATACATAAAAATAGCCTCAATTGTTGATATTGGTTTTGGAGGAAGGTTTTCCGGGTGAGGCCGTGGAAAGAGCGGGAAATCTTGTTAAGGGGCATCGATGAAAGGGTTTCGCGATAAATGTGTTATTTAACCTGATTTTTGTAGTCGTTTTTAGGTCGGTTTTGGTCGTGCGGTATAACGGGTACGGAATGGGTTTTGCGGCGTGCGGTCTGTGGTTCGTGAACTTGTTATCGACCTTCAAGATGATTATGTTCGTGATGTATACGATGTTTTATTTCCAGTGCAAGAAAGAATGTGGTGCAGATGTGAATTTGTATGGGAATGTTGAGTACACCAAATTGTCTAGTCTAGTGTAATTGGGGCAAATGATCTTCCCTAAGAAAGAAAGGGTGTGTGTGTTAATTGCATTTTTACATTATAAAATATCATGATTTTATATATGTTATTTACGAGATCATGAAACATGACTCGGCATGTTTTTTTAATAAACTATAGCTCGATTATCTGTTCGAGCTTAGCTCGTTTAAGTTAAGCTAAACCAAGTTGTGTTCGAAATAAGTTTCTACGCACCAATACATATTCAGCTATAAAGCTCAAATAAATCGATCAAAAAGCTCTATCTGGGATACGTTTGAAATATCATGCAAATCCAATCTTCACATTCTCAGGAAAACAATCAAACAATAAAAAATAAAAATAAAAAACAAGCACACTCATCGACCTTATGTTAATTACGATACCGGGCAATCCTGCAATAAATTTATCAGGCAAGTCCAAAGGAAACGTCGTAATTTGTTCTCAATAACTATCCAACTTTTTTTGATCGAATGTGAAATTAAGCTGCTGATTTTTCGAAACGGGGTAGGCCCCACTCGCTAGGGTTGAAGTCCAAGAGAGAGCTTATAACTTTACCTGCAGTTTGATGGTATGAATTGTCCAACCTCGGATCTCCAACCATTACCACTGACCTGCAAGGTGAAATTCGGTAAGAATTACCAAGGATTTTCGAATGACCTTTTTTTTTTTAATGTGCATGAACCTTTCTAAAGAATAATGCGATTTCGTTTACTGATTCTAAGCTTATATGTGTACGAAGGGAAAAAGTCAAAAACTGAACTGGAGATTTTAACAGATTTTTTCTGTGTGCATGGATTTTTATCTTGTAGTAAAAAGTTGAATTTTTTTTCTTGCAAAGAATCAAGGGACGAACGAATAAGAACTTACATGCCGACATTCTTAGCTGCCAATACGCCAGATGGCGCATCTTCAAAAACCAGTATCTTTTGTGGATCAACTGGTCCACCCTGCAAAACGAACAATAAATCATTTTACCTGCGTAGATAACTTCTTGATTTCCAATAAACGAGCAACTTGAATTATCTCGTGTGAATCAGTTTATAGAAAAGTATCAAGAGTCCTAAATTTAATTAAGGCACGATGAAAAATAAATAAATAAATATATAAACATTTTCACATCTCGCCATTCTTCTATAATCCACTAGCGTTGATCGAAATCGAAAAACAGTTTAGTAATTCCAACATTTTCTGCTCCAAAATGCTCTCCCCTTCTCCTTTTATTTATATCACCGTACAGTTATTATTATTATTATTATTATTTTTAATTAACCTCAAATCTTTTGGCAGCTGCAATGAAGACATCGGGTGAAGGTTTCCCTTGTTTGACTTCTGGATCATCCCCGAGAACTACATGATGCATCAGTGAAGAAAATTCACGGTGCCTTTGAGTTTTCAACTCAAAATGCCTATTGTGTGAACTGCAACAAGGTAAAAAAAGATCAATGAGCAAGTTTGCTAAACGTGTCGAATTATATTTTACCAATTTCATCTCCTAAACCTACTTCGAGAATTAAAGAAAACAAAGAACTTACCCAGTTGCAACACAAATAGGAACTCCATTTGCATGGAGGTGCTGAATTAATTAAACGGCTGGCCCCTGTAATAGAAATATTAGCAGCAATAAGTTCCAAGAGGCTTTCACCGGGGGATAATATTTCCTAACTAAGGAAATGCCGAAATGCATAAGAATGCTAAAACCGATAGAGAAATTATGCGATCAAATATATCAAATCTAAACCTGGCATGAGTTGGCACGAGGGGAATAAACTTTGCAGCATATCTTCTCTCTCTACAAGAAACTCTTCAGCTGAGAGCGAGTCACTGATTCCAGTCTCTTCCACAAAAACTCGAGCAGCTTCTATTGCCTTCTTACCCATCATTTTGGCCATGAGAGACCAATCAAAAGTCTTATTGTATCTAGCAAGAATGATCTCCTGTACTTCAGTTTAGAATTTCTGCGTATCTGAGAAAACAAAAGAGAAAAAATAAGAGCAAATATTCGATTAANCCAAATGCTTCTATTTGGATATGAAGCCACAAAGCTGCCAACTATATTATATTAACTTGGGACACGAAAAATGTAAAGAACTAACTCTTTACAGGAACAAGAAAGATTCAAACGACAAACACAAATAGCTTATCTTGCCTTTGTTAAAAAAAACAGGAAAAAGAAGCGTAAACCACAACAGACTCGTTTAACTAAAAGAAAAGGAAACTATGAAGCCCCAGGAATCATCTGTTAAACATGTAAATCATCCATCCTAGCCACCAATACATAAGAGATTAACGAAAAATAGAAAGCGCACAAATATGATGTCCTTTGTCGATATATTGGAATAAAATCCATTATAAGTCCATAAGTAGGTAACATCACATTCTAAACAAATTTACAACAACTCATTGTCATTTATCCTATAAACAGGGTCATGGGTCTGAACTCAAGCTAGTCTATAACATGACCATCGTTTTGAAGAAGAAAACTTCTAATTAAATTTTAACACACTTTTCAGCTGAAATAACAGGTGCATTATTCGCAGCTCATATATTTACTGATTGAATTTCATAACTGTTTAAGACAGTGAAGAGTTACCAAGTAGAAGATAATGCTAATATATTTATTAATTAAAAAATCACAAAAAAGATTAAAAGTCTGTCAGACAGCTGCCAGGCCATCTTGGCTCGCCAAAGCCAACCAAGAACGATCCTCTACTGACCTAATGGACCCACGACGGAGCTCAAAGGGTCTGTTAATCACGCTCTGGCCGGGCAGCCATAACTCATCCACCAGACTGGGATAAGTTGTCTCTTTATATCTCAAGGATAAAGAGGTACGATCCTATAGAACAGATCCTGTTCAAGTAAGGTCGTGCTCATTGGTGCTGAGACATAGTAATATATAAACTTGGTTTTACAGGTTTGTTTCCAATGTGGGACAATGATGTGAACTTTAGCTAATCTTATGCGTTATGTTATTCCGCAGCTTTAATAAATATAGGTTATTTCGTGTGCTTTTTCCCATTCTTGGGCTTTAACAATTAAAAGCGTTTTCTTTACATGGGCTTTTCCCCACCTTCGGGATTTATAATTTTCCTTGTTCCTCCTGTCACGTATATTTAATTTTCTTTTACGTAATTTAAGAATTGTTTTATTGAAAACTAACCAACAAAACTCTGGATTTCGTCTGCCATATGCGGACAACAAATTAAGCTTATCTAATCTGTATAACAAAATTTAAACTAAATACGATCGAAATTAATTTATCTAACCAAATGTATTGATATATGCCTACTACAAGTTTTGATATAAAAAATTAACTCGTTTATTACTAGTCGAATTCGAGTCTTAACGACCCAATTTATATAAAAATCCTTTTTTCCCAAAACTCAACTCGTTAACTTAACGAGTTTTATATGAGTCGTATCGTAGTTAACAAGTTTTATATGAGTCGTATCATTTCGCTTACCTGCTCTATCTACAACTCACAATTTAAAACAATATTATTTGCAAATTAGACATGAGCTTTAATTGCACAACCACCATCACATTTTAATTGTATTATAATTCTTCTCCTTCTTCTTCTTCCAATGTTTTATATCAAAATAGAAATATATATTACACACATGCAGCTATGGTCCTTTCTTGTATAGTTGATGCAGATTGTTGTGAAATAATGTTAAGTTTGCAGGACTATATGGTTGGAAAGGTTATATAGTGCCTACCTTAATTTCTCCATTCAATTATGTTAATGTTAGGTACAATTCCACCAATCTTATTTAAATTTTCTATTAATTTTATACAGTTTTAGTATGGAGCCATCGGATGGCTCGACTTATGGAATCATCCATACTTATTTACCAATAGTGTATTGACACGTGTCCTACAATAGTAGAGTCATCTACAATTATTTACTTTTCAGCTAATTTTGTTTTTGGGCTGTGGAGTGGACCACTTCCATGAACTCCAAAATCGATTTAGCTTGAATAACTAATTGATAAGTGTGTTATTATATTAATCTAATTAAATTGAGCCCGCAAGATTATATTGCGTTTAACATCACCTATTCATAATCCCATTTTTTCTTTTTCATATCACGTAGGATTATATGATTACATATTACTTAATAACGGACGTGACTATGCTTAATAATACATATACAATTATTATGTGCAGTGAATTAACTTCTTTTTTTTTCCCAATTTTACCCTACTCATTTATGACATGAACTTGTCTAACAACTAATTGTGATTGATTATAGTGGCATTTCCGTGCTCAGGCCAACTGAAAATTGCATGCAAGTAAAACCAAAGTTCATCATACATTTTATGCATTCCATTGCCAACGACCAAAGAAAAAGAATAATAAATAATTCAAAAAAAAAATTACAATCTACATGAATCCAAAACAGGAAAACCGAAAAAACGACTAAATCAATCATCCCCATCTGATTATGGCCGACCCCCACGTGAGCCCGGCCCCAAAACCTGCAGTAGCTAAAGTTTGACCACTTTTGACCTTCCCACTTCTAACGGCCTCGTCCAATGCCAAAGGGATCGATGCAGCGCTCGTGTTGCCATAATTCGCCAGGTTGGATATCACTCGTTCGCCCGGGATTTCTAGCCGTGTGGCTACAGCATCAATGATTCTTTGGTTTGCCTGCAGTTAACGTGCAATTACGTTGTAATCGCAGTATATGGTTCTGAAAATAATAATAATAATAATAATAATAATAATAATAATAATAATAATAATAATCTGTCGTGTTTCATGTTTCCCTTGTAATTTTCTAACGATTAGGCACGACGTGAATACAAACCTACATCGGGTGTTTGTAATAACTTAAAACTTAAAGGGCATCTGTAAATTGGTGAAATTCTTTTTACCCTTGACTTTCTTGGGTAATGAGCCCAAATTTTAACATACATATTGCGAAAAAATTGGAAATTTTAGTCCTGTAACTAACAGCAAATTAAGAAATTGAGAAATAGTCTAGTGGTTGCGTTGATTTTACAAAACAACATGTAACTACAAAAAACAAAATTGACTTTTGGTCCTTTCAAAGGCAAAAGCCGATTAATCTGACTGGTTGCTGAGTTGGATATGTTAGTTGGCTGCCACGTGTACGAGAAACAAAAAATGATAAATAATATTCACGTCAGCAACCGGTCACATGACCGGCTTTTCCCGGTGGAAGAACCAAAAGTCAGGTTTTTTGTCAAGGTGTTTTTTGTAAAGTCAACGCGATTACTAGACTATTTCTCAATTAAATCTCCAATTTTTCCTACTAATTGCTATATCAATGAGGACTAAATCTCCAATTTTTCCTACTAATTGCTATATCAATGCTTCAAAGTGATGATTCGGACCATTTATGATAATATTCGTACCTGGTGAAGAAGCAACCAATCTACATTGGATCCACTTAGGCCCGCCTTTTCTAAGGCCAAAGCAATCGATTGTGGGACGACACGAACTGCGAATCGGAACACCTCTTTCCCGTTCATTTGGATGCACGAGTAAGACGTGTCTTTCGGTAGAATCCCAAGGAGCGACCCGTTTGTGCCCAATAAGTGATCTTTCTCATTTTCCTTAATATTAGCTTTCAAGTGCCTGTAAATGTAT